CTGAACACACATAAAAATCCTAGTCATCCACGTTTAAATGTCTGCCAGTCTAAATTTAGATAATTAAAAAATATATGTATTTCATTTGCAGTTGCTAATAATCTATCAAATCTTCTCTCTCCCAACCCCACTTTTTACCATATGCCTTATACACTCTCCTTTCAAATACCAGTTTGGTATTTAAGTTGTTCACCCCCATTTCCAGTAAGGATAAGAAAAAAATAGAGAAATGCAAAGTATATAGCTAGACAACTTACCCAAATATAAAATATTTCCAAATAGTTGAAATAAGAGGGGAAAACATTGGACTCCCTGCTGTCAGCCCAGAGCCCACTTCAGATCCTCTGTCCTCTTCTGTCTCTTTGCCCCTCCCCCATTCATGCGCGTGCTCTCTCTCAAAAATAAACATTTTTAAAAAAGGTTTTTTTACATTTATTTTTGAGAGACAGGGCACTAGTGGGGGAGGGGCAGACACACACACACACACACACACACACACAGGCTTCAAACTCTGAGCTGTCACCACAGAGCCCTACATGGGGCTCAAACTCACAAACTATGAGATCATGACCTGAGCCGAAGTCGGATGCTCAACTGACTGAGCCACCCAGGCACCCCGAAAATGAATTAACATTTTTTTTTTTAATTTTTTTTTTCAACATTTATTTATTTTTTGGGACAGAGAGAGACAGAGCATGAACGGGGGAGGGGCAGAGAGAGAGGGAGACACAGAATTGGAAACAGGCTCCAGGCTCTGAGCCATCAGCCCAGAGCCCGACGCGGGGCTCGAACTCACGGACCGCGAGATCGTGACCTGGCTGAAGTCGGACGCTTAACCGACTGCGCCACCCAGGCGCCCCAATGAATTAACATTTTTAAAAATCCCTAGCATGAAAAAAAAATAATGCTTTAACTCATATGTTAAAATATCTAAAAAAGTACAACCTAGAATAGGTAAATAGGCAAGTTATATTATTGAAAATTATGGTAAAATACTCAGAAAAAAATTTACATCTTTTAAGTGCAGTTTGGTGGCATTCAGTGCATTCATAGTTGTGCAAGTATCGCCACCATCCATCTCCAGAACTTTTTTTTAACATTTTATTTTAAGTAATCTCTACACCCAGCATGGGGCCCCATCTCACAACCCTGAGATCAAGAGTCACATGCTCCACTGACAGGACTGACTAGCCAGGCACCCCTACAGAACTTTTTCAGTCATCATCTCAAGCTGAAACTCTAACCATTAAACCATAATCCCCCATTCCCTACTCCTGCCAGTCCCTACTAAACACTGTTGTGTTTTCTGTCACTGTAAGTTGATCACTCTAGTTACCTCATAAAGGTTGGTTATGTTGTGATAGAAATTAAATGTTAAGAGATCAGCATGATCCCATGACCATGTCCTATTCCGCAAGATACTGGAAGAAGCAGGCATGATACTGAAGAAGGGACTTGAGATGGGTTTGAAACAGTGGAACTAGGTGGAGTGGAGTTTGTATATTTTTATGGCTCCATCTTTAAATATTTAAATCTTTTGATTCTTTCGAATATATTTCTTGAAGCACATGGCTCCATCTTTAAATATTTAAATCTTTTGATTCTTTCGAATATATTTCTTGAAGCACATAAGTATAGTTTTATTTTTTCCAGTTACTTAGCCCCAGTAAGTATAGTTTTATTTTTTCCAGTTATTGTTCCCTACCGATTTAAGAAACAGTTTACTTTAAAATTTCAAAATGTTCCATTACTAGATACATTGTCAAAGAAGGGCAGTTTTCCCATGCAATTTCATATGACACTTGGTAAATTCAGAGATGATGGAAAAACTAAAAAGTATCACAAAAACTCATTATCAATAATCTAGTCTCTTGGGGAACCTGGGTGGCTCAGTCAGTTAAGCATCCAACTCTTGATCTCAGCTCAGGTCTTGATCTCAAGGTCATGAGGTTCAAGCCCTGTGTGAAGTCTACTTAAAAAAAAAAAAAAAATCTAGGCTCTTTTTTTCTATGTAAGTAAGGTCTCTCAGAACAAAAAGAAATAAAAGGCATCCAGATTGGTAAGGAAGAAATAAAACTTTCCTAAAGACTCCACCAAAAACTGCTAGCATTGATACATGAATTTGGTGAAGTCACAGGATACAAAATCATTGTACAGAAATCTGTATACACTAATAATGAAGCAGCAGAAAGAGAAATTAAGAAAACAACCCCATTTACAATTGCACCAAAAATAATAAAATACCTAGGATAGACTGAATGAAAGAGGTGAAAGACCCGGATCCTGAAAACTATAAAACCCTGATGAAAGAAATTGAAGATGACACAGAGAAATGCAAAGGCATTCCATGTTCATGGATTAGGAGAACAAATATTGTTAAAATGTCTATACCACCCAAAGCAATCTACAGATTTAATGCAATCCTTGTCGAAATACCAGTAGCAATTTTCATAGAACTAGAACAAATAATCCTCAAATCTGTGTGGAATGTTTACAAAAGACTCTGAATAACTAAAGCAGCCTTGAAAGAGAAAAAACTGGAGGTATCATGATTTCAGACTTCAAGTTATACTACAAATTGTAGTAATCAAAACAGTATAGTACTGGCACAAAGATGGGCACACAGATCAGTGGAGCAGAAAAGAAAACCCACAAATAAACCCATAAGTATGTGATCAGTTAATCTTCAACAAAGGAGGAAAGACTATACAATGGAAAAAAGACAGTCTCTCCAACAAATGGTGTTGGGAAAACTGGACCACTTTCTTACACCATACATGAAAATAAACTCAAAATGGATTAAAGACCTGTTGTGAGACCTGAAGAGAGCATAAGCAGGAATTTCTTTGACATTGGCCATAGCAACATTTTTCTAAATGTGTCTCCTGAGACAAGGGAAATAAAAACAAAAATAAACTGTTAGGACTACAGTTTATAAATAAAAAGCTTTGGCATACTGAAGGAAATAGTCAAGAAAACTAAAAAACAATCTAGGGAATGAGAGAAGATATTTGCAAATGATATACCCAAGAAAGGCGTAGTATCCAAACTATATAAAGAACTCAACAGCCAAAAAACAGGCAGAAGATATAAACAGACATTTCTCCAAAAGAGACGTACAGATGGCCAACACATGAAAAGATGCTCAACATCACTCATCATCAGGGAAATGCAAATCAAAACTACAATGAGGTATCACCTCATACCGTGTCAGAATGGCTAAAACCAACAACACAAGAAACAAGTGTTGGCAAGGATGAGGAGTAAAAGGAACTGTCTTGCCCTGTTGGTGGGAATGCAAACTGGGCAGCTACTGTGGAAAACCTTATGGCGGTTCCCTCAAGAAGTTAAAAATAGAACTACCTTGGGATCCAGTAATAGCACTACTAGGTATTATCCAAAGAAATACAAAAACATTCAGAAGGATACAAGCACCCCTGTGTTTATTGCCGTATTATTTACAGTAGCCAAGTTATGGAAGCAGCCCAAGTGTCCATTGATAGATAAATGGATAAAGAAGATGTGGGGTGTGTGTGTGTATGCACATATGTACGATGGAATGTTATTCAGCTATGGAAAGATTGAAATCTTGTCATTCACAACGACATGGAGTGAGCTAGAGAGTATAATGCTAAGTGAACTGAGTAGGAGAAAGACAAACACCATATTATATCATTCATGTGTAGAATTTAAGAAAGAAAAATAAAAAAAAGAGAACAAGAAATAGATTCAACCACAGAGAACAAATTGATGGTGACCAGAAAGGAGGTGGAGGGGGGAATGAGTGAAATAGGTAATTGGGATTAAAGAAAAGAAATAAGCAAGGTCTCAATGTTTCTCTCCGTAGGAAGAAGTAAAGAATAAGAAATTGTTTTAACCTTTTTAATTTTATGCTAAATTTATTTTACTCAAATGGCACGGTTAACTCTTCGTTATACTAGTTAAGAGAATATTGGCAGAAGGAAATGAAGTCAGGGTGTAATAGGCCCGTTCGAGGTACAGCCTTGGGAAGCCCAGCAGGAATAAGCCTAGTGATTGGAGAAGGCAGAGACAAGGTGGTGGGTGGGGAGCCTTTTCAGCAGCGCTCACCATGTTTGTTTGTAGGACTTTCTAGGAAATCTTTTTGAGCTGTATTTGTGTGAACAGCCTAAATTAGTGCCCGCCACAAAGGCAAAATCAAATTCCATAAATCTATTATTTTTTTTACATTAGGTATATTTTGCAGTTTTAACATTTTTCAACTCCTAAAGCATTTGTAGAAAGGGTGAAGGGCAAATAAATACTCTCGTGGTATGGTATTTCTTATTTTCTGCTTGAGAGACATGTTCGTTTCCCCTCCTTTCCTTTTAATCTTCCTGTTTCCTTGACACACCTGCTTCTGAACCCCATCTCATCTCTCCCTGCTGTGACAGTTCACTAGCACTTCACGGTACCTAAGCTTCTTTCAACTCTTATTTTCCACCAACTGTCGGTTTCAAAATAAGGTGGCTTTGTTTGGGAGGGAAAGGGTAGAATCCTTTCTGAATGTCTCCTTTTCCTTTGAAGCAGGAGCACTTCAGAGACAATTGAACTGCTTTTAGGTTTTTCTTACCACCCAGCTTTTGCTTCTGATAGATCCTGCCGTGAACACAGTTCTGTTGATGACATCGATTTGTTGCTATGGAAATAGTGGTAATGTCACAGATTCAGCCCAGTGACTTGACTTCAGGTTCAGGCAGGAGAAATGGGCAAGGCCTTAGGGGAGAACCTCATTAAAACTGAAAGCTATCAATTATAAACAGGTGAAAGGTGAATGGAGCCAACCTTTCATATAATGAAAACAAAAGTGAACCCCTAGCAAATTGACTGCATGCAGTTGAATGCAACAGCATGAATTCTGACCCATGAGAGTCTTTAACGAAATAAAAAAATTACACTTTCTTGGAGTATTTCTTCTGCTTAAGTTGAAATCTTTTAAGCTGAATTATTTGCACTAAAGTTGTCTTTTTTGGGGTTCCCAGGACACGGGCAGCAGCAGGTAGTTCCTTCTCCGGCCTCAGCAGCCAACCCACCAGCCAGCAAGCCCCAGCAACAGAATGGGAGCTCAGGGATGGGTAAGCTACTGTGTGAGGACACGTGCTGATTATATGTATCAGGCCTCTGAGTAGTGTTTAGAAATTTAATCTGGGACTAAAGGGAGTTTTCAAAATGTCATTCATGATATTTGCTTCTTGCAAAGGATAGTTCGAATTCTTACAGTAAAGTATGTGATTGAAAAAATGATTAAAGATAGCCTTTTAAAGATACTTCATATGCCTGTTTTAATCAGAATGATACACTGTTCTCTGTTAATAGTTTATCTGGTGGTTTCTCACATCTTACGTTTTGCACTCTCTTGACTTGTGAATTTACATATCTTTTAAATTTGCACCTTTTAACTATTTGGAATCCACTTAACTGAATTTCGCTTGTCTCTCTCCAAGTTTCCCATTTGGGGCCCTCACGGGTATTTATCTTAATGTGAAGACGGTATCATTTATACCGGTCATAGGTTCTGCTTCTCAGTCTCATGGATGAGAAATCATTTCTTCCTTTAACTCTCTGCAGTAGGTCCTGAGAGGCTATAATGGAATCATTTTGTTTACTTTCTGGCCTTCACTTTAGGAACTACTATTGAGAATGATGATGTGTGGAATTTGGTTGGATTTGTTTTTAGAGGTCCTTTTTTTCTGTCACAGTGTCTCATACACCCCCTCCTCTCTTCCTCTCAACTATTAATTGCTAATTTTAAATGCTGAGATTTTAAGAAAAACAAGGTTAAGGCATCACTAAGGTGGCTGTGAAACTTTCAGGACATGGGACTTCATTGTTCTTTGATGTTTTTATCTATCTTGCAATATCTGTCAATCTACCTTCCATCTAGCTCCCCTGTATACGTGTATCTATTTATACACAACTCTCAAATTATGTTCTGTTGAAGGAGGTAGTGGCATAGATATACTAACATGGTAAATAATGTAAAAGTCACTTCCTTAAGCCTGAAATGCAAATCGTATATTGTTCCTTTCCTTCTCACAGATTTATTTTCCCAGTTGTCTGTCTTTGGCTTGTATTAACATTTATTTTTAAAAGTCAGTTAATGCTTTTTAAACACACATCAACTGGGTGGTGAAAGAAAAAAAGACTGGGTGTGTATTGAGGGGAAGCATGTTTTGTATAACTATCTTCTTGATGATATTAGGTATGCATATACACATGCATTCTGCGAAGTGCACTTGCTTCTTTGCATAATCTTGACACAATTATTACTGTTGTATGTGTAGTTCTCTCTTGACTCCTCAGTTAGAATAGGAAATGTTAAGATCTAGGACAGTCTGTATGGTTTTTATTAAATGCTGCAAATACTGGGGCACCTGAGTGGCTCAGTCAGTTGTGTCTATCTCTTAATTTTGGCTCAGGTCGTGATCCCAGCGTTGTGGGAAGGAGCCCTTCATCGGATTTCAGGCTGAGCGTGCAGCCTGCTTAAGGTTATTTCTCTTCTCACTCCCTGGCTCACGCACATGCTCTCTCTAAAATTAAAAAAAAAAAATTTTTTTTTTTAATGCTACAAATACCTAGAATAATGTCTTACAGGTTGTACAAACTCAGTAAATAAATGCTGAAAATGGTAGGTTTACATCTCTAGCAAAATTCCATTCTAAAGAAATGTTTTGATAGAGAAGATTTGAAGTAATTGGACTAAATTACATTTTCTGAATTTGGAGGTTGAAACTTTATAGAAACTGTGCATATAAAGGAATTCCTGTGTTTATAAGCTTTAATTACCTGTTTTTTTCCAAGTGCACAGTAGCTGCTTAGGCTTGGGTAAAGAGGCAGAAGGGATCTTGGTTCCCAGCCACCTGGTTGTCTTGAACCAAAAACTGATTGTTGCCCTTTGCCCCCAACTAAACCCAGTCACATAGACTTCAGTGTAGACCTTTCAGTCCTATAGACCAGTTGAGAACAGTGAGTTTTCTGAAGATGTTTTGAGGTAAAATATTTGTGATAGGTATTGGTGTCCTTCACCTCAGATGGTTCATCTACTGTGTCCTTCACCTCCTAACCTTTTCTTCTGCTTTTTTTTCTTAATGTTTATTTTTGAGAGAGAGACCGAGCAGAGGTGGGGCGGAAAGAGAGACACACACACAGAATCCAAAGCAACCCCAGGCTGAGCTCTCAGCACAGAGCCCGATGCGGGGCTCAGACTCATGAATGGTGAGATCATGATCTGAGCTGAAGTCGGACACTTAACTGAGTCACCCAGGCGCCCCGC